GTCCTCACACAAGTCCAGAGAGCGTGCTGGCCTCTGCTGGACGAGGCTCGGCCTACCCTCAGGCTCTCAGTTTGCAGCATCCTTTACAGTTAGCCAGGAGGGTGCTGTGCGGAGGGGCCCAGTGGGGCTAGGACTGAGCGTGCACTCTGGGGCCAAGGGGGACTGCAGGGTGGTCAGTGGCCTCTGCCCTCTTGTAGGCCTCAAGCTCAGGGGCAAGGACATTGGCAAGCCCATCGAGAAAGGCCCACGAGCGAAATGAGCACGAAGCCTCGAAACAGCGCGTCCGGCTGAGCCGTCCTGCTGCGGTCCCTGAGGCCAGCACCGACGAGGCCGCCGCGCGGCCCTGTAGAACATGGGTCAGGCCAGCAGCCGACCCACCCTGCTGTCAAACAAAGAAACCTTGTGAAGCCTGGTTCCTGGCTCTTTCCTCGGGCCCTCCCGTCCCTCCAGTGGGGCCTGCAGTGGCACCTTCTCTTGCATGTACCACCTGCTGCTAGCACTTATGGTATGCGGCCAGGGCATTGCAAGGCCACCTCATGAGGAGAGGATGGCCGTCAGTGAGGTGGGGACTGTGCGCCCTTATTCTGGGCCTCTAGCCTGCTCCCGCCACTGTGCCATCTCGGAGGACAAAGTGGAACTTCCTGAGAGAGGCCCCAGATTTGGAGTTGGCTCCTGCATTCAGAAGTGTTCTTTACCTGGACTGCAGTGTCAGCCAGCCTTGTGGCACCTGCAGACACAGGGTGGCACTGACCGTGAGCCTGCCACCCTCCCCAGACCTGATGGCACAGGCAGGCACCCAGTGTGGCCCCTCCAGCTGGGGTGGCCCCTCCCCAAGGCAGTCCTCAGGTGCCAGAACTGCAGGACCCACTTGAGTAGCAACAGGCAGCCTTGCTTCCTTAGATCCCTGGTGGTGTCCACACATGTGCAGGGGAGTGTCCCCCTCAGACCTTCCTGCTCAGGAGTGTTGGGGGTCCTTGCTCCCAGCGTGGCATCTTCACCCTGGGCAGCACCCAACCCCCTCTGGCCAGCAGCCAGTCACCTTCTAGTGACCTTGTACTCGTGGGTGACACCTGTCCTCAGTGGGAAGCACAGTTTCCCACTGAGGCCAGACCTGCCTGTGAGGAGGACTGCTGCTCTGTCCAGCTGGGCCCCTCGTGCTGCCTTGCCTCAGGTCTGCCTGGCGTCACCCAAGTCCCTGGGGTCTCGCTTCCTCCCCCAGCTGCACGGAGAAGCAGAGGGGCCCACACACTTCCCTTGGGTGGCCTGAGGCCAGGCTCGGACATTGACCCAGCGTGAGAGTTCGGGCTGCCCTTGAGGGGTGGGGTGTTTATTCGTGAGGTAGGGACCTCCAGCCACCCCACTGGACAGGGCCATAGCTGTCTGGCCTTGGGCCGGAGTGTGTGCGGAGGTGACCCAGGAAGGGCCAGGGGCAGCTCCGATGATCTATGGGTCACCGGTGACAGCTGCAGGCAGGGTGACTTGATCCTAGAGGAAGGGAGGGGGCCTCGTGACCATGGCAGGAGAGACCTGGGGCCCTGCTGGGGTCCAGCCCGTCCTGGGCTCCTACCGCATTGAAGAGGATGTTGTCAAAGCCAGGGGCTGCAGAGTGCCTGTTCCTCCAGAAGGGCCAGCCCCCTCCCTTCCGCAGCCAGCACCACCCCGTGAGTCCCAGCAGCACCAGGAGAGTCAGGAAGACGAGGGCCCCGCTGACTGCAGCTGCCACCGACATGGGCACTGCTGTGTCCTCTGCAGTCAGAGCACAGGGCCCGGGGACGGGAGTTCAGGGCGCTTCCTGGCCCCTTTCCCTTGCTGGCCATGATGTCTTTAGAAAGGCACCCAAGCCCACTGCACCCCCTCAAAACAGAATGGCAGCTGGTAGCTACACAGTATGAGCCCTGCACCCCAAGTGGGCCAGCCAGGGCAGCTCCGTGGACACAGCGAGGTGAGGCTTCAGCGAGGTGCTCACCTGGGCTCGGTGCAGGCCACTGGCAGTGCTGCCTGGGCAGATACTCGATGTCATCCAAGGCGATGGGCCCCTGCACCGGCTGACCGCTCAAAGTAGCTTCAAACACCACCTGTTGGGCAAGGGAGGGGCCCTTAGGAGGGGCAGGACACGTGGACCACCAGGGCCCCAAAGCCTTACCTGGAACTCCTCGCTGCTGACCACCTCCACTTGGGCCTCCAGCCACTGGTGTCTTAGCTGCCCACCCTGGGCCCATGCCACCAGCTGGCCCCTGGTGCTGACCAGGAGCACTCGGAGCTCGCCCTTGTCTGGAGAGGGGTGGGGTGTGTTAGGCTGGGCCACAGCCATCTCCCATCCCAGCCCCTGGGCAGAGCCAGCTCACAGAAGTGCTCCGGGAAGCCCATGTGGTACCAGAAGCGGAGGCAGGAGGCCTTTGTGGCCGGCAGGGGTTCACTGCGCAGCCAGGCCGCACGCCCCCCAGAACCCAACACGCTGGTCTCAAAGAAGGCAAAATGCCCTGCGAACAAGAAGGCAGGTGCCAATCTGGGTCCCAGTCCCACAGCCTCTGGCCAGAGGGAGCAGGCAGGGCTGTGCTGTATAGGGCAGCTGACCATGTGTCCGTGTGGCTTCCAGGTCCCCCTTCCCAGTTCCAGCTGCCAGCTGGTACGCACCTGTCTCAGTGCCCAGAGTGTGGTCCATGGCAGGCTGGGAGTACCGGGATGGGGTGGCACCACTACTCCAGTCCCAGCTGTACCCACCCAGGCCTGGCCATGCCACCTGGCTCCAGCCACACAGACCAGATTCGAAGTCACAGGACCCTTGGAGGAGATGGGGTGTGAGTGGCTCTCCCTGGCTGTCAGCCTCAGGCACCTCCCACCCCCGGGTGGGCCCAAGCCAGGGAGTTAGGCTTGGCACAGATCACGGGCCACTGCAGGGTTCCACCTGGCTGAGGGCAGGGCCCGTCCTGGAGGAGGATGTCATCCAGCGCAACGTAGGAGTGTTCCACACCTGCAGCCACTGCCTCGAACACCACCTGTGGGGCAAGGCTGGTGCTGCGCTGGGAGCAGGTGATTTGGGGACAACCCCCTCACCACCCTGTGCTAGACACTCACCTTCCACGCCTGCTCAGCCCACACATCCATACTGCCCAGGCGCCAGGCAGGCCCACCGTGCTCACTGATGCTGAGGGTCTGGTGCTGTCTGCCCTCTTCCACTCGGACCCGCAGAGTGCCTGTGATGCCAAGAGGAGGCGGCTAGCTGGTGCGGGGCCCGTGCTATCCCCATCCCCCCTCAGCAGGGCACCTCCCATGGCCTCTCACCTGGGCTGCGCAGGCTCAGGTGGTACCAGAAGGTCAGGCAGGTGGGATGGAGGAGAGGCTGGTGCTCCTCCGAGGTCAGAGAGGCTACATGGCCCTGGGGCAGCATGTCTGGGCTTGTAGCCACGATCATGTAGTGCCCTGGTGGGGGCAGTGTCAGCTGATGGCATGAGCCCATTCCGTCCCCACCCCCAGAGCAGGCTGTACCTTGGGCTGTCTCTGTAGTGTGGTCTGCCCAGGGGCCCTTGGTGGCAGTGCCTGAGGCGCTGTTTTGGCGCTTCCACAAGCCCTGCCCACCCGTGGAGAAACTGCAGGTGGACTCCTCAAAGGAGCAGCGTTGGGGAGCTGGACAGGTGCCAGGGCGCACGGTCACGTCGTCTAGTGCCATGATGCCGTCGTACCCATCCCGGAGGCCCTGAAACAGCAGCTGGGGGTGCAAGGTGTCAGCTGGCAAGGCCTGGCTCCCCCTCCCATGCCAAACTCACCTGGTACTTGGAGCTGGGCCCCAGCTGGTGGCGCAGGGTAGCCCAGGCCTGGTGCCAGCGGTTGCCGTGGGTGCCTGACCCAGACCAGAGCTGAATTTCCTCCTCCCCATCCCTCTGCATGGCCAGCCGCAGCGTCCCTGGGGCAAGTGAGGTTTGGAGGGGATGAAGCCTCCACATCCTGAGCCCCGAGAGCCCCAGTAGGCCTCCCTGATGCCCATGCTTGCTCACCAATCCGGGGCCCATGCAGCTGGAACCAGAAGCTGAGACACTGCTCAGGGACTGCTGGCACCTGGGGCCCCGTGAGCAGGTTGGCATGTCGCCCACGGGCAGGAGGCTCTGCAGGGTCCAGAAGCATGAAAAAGCCTGTGTGGGGCACCAGGGTAAGCTGCAGGGTGCTTTGCTAGGCCTCAGCTCTCCACTCTGAGAGACCCGAAGGTCTGAGGAGCCCCCCCGGGCCGAGGGCCTCTGGGCCTGGTGTCCTCCTGGTGACAGGATATTAGTTTGACGTTCTCCCACTTTCTAGGGTGCCAGCACCCCCTGTCCTGAGGCTTTTCCTACCTTGACCAGTGGTGTGGTCATTCCCAGAGCTGTGACTCTCCACCCTGCGCCAGTGGACATCTGTGAGGTGGCCCAAGTGCCAGCCACACATTCCCCACTCGAAGTTACAGGTGACCTCTGGGGGTGGGCAGCAGTGTCAGCACAGTCCCCACCTGCAGCTTCCCCAAGACCTGAGGAACAAAGGGTTCCCGGGGCCCCCAGATGTAGGCTGGGCAGGCCCTGTGGGGACGGGAGGAAGGGACCTCTGTCTGTCTCAGTGGTCACTGTAGGGCTGCAGTCCCTCATAGTCACGTTGTCTATCCCAGCGCCTTGCAGGCCGGGGGCCTCCACGTCCACCAGTGCAACCAGCTCCAGCTTTAGGGGTGGAGGGAGGAGCTGTAAGTCAGAGCGCTCTTTGGGAAACCCCTACCCAGGATGCCCTTCTTACCTGGAAGGGCCGGCGATGTGCCCCAAGGAGGACCCTGACCACTGTCCAGGCCCCAGAGCTGTCCCCTGGGGCCTGCCACACCAACTCCCGGGAGCCGCTCTCCACCAGGGCCAAAGCCAGGAAGCCTGGGAGGGGTCAGGAGGTGGGCCTCTGTGCACCCTTCCCGCAGGCACGGGCAGAGGGGCAGGGGCAGGAGAGGCAGTACCTCGAGGGTGGCTGTGGAAGTAGTAGGCCAGGTGGAGTTCACAGTGTGGGCCAGAGGGGCCCAGGACAGGTGTGAGGGCCCGGGCCTCGGCCCTCAGCTGCCCCCAGGCCCTCTGCAGGGACAGGAAGTGTCCTGGGCAAGAGCAGGAGCTTAGAGCTGTGCTTTCCAGGGAGCCCTCTGCTCAGGGAGTCCGTCCGGGTTGGGGACCCCGCAGGCCTCACCTGCTGTAGCCCTGATCCCCTGGGCTTCCTGCCGCCCCCACTGCAGCCGCCCTATGCTGGAGTCCTGCCAGCCGCCGGCTGCGGCGGCCTCAAAGTCTGTGGTGCCTAGAACAGAGGGGCTGGAGCGGTGGCTGGGCCACGAGACCCCCGAACTCCCGGACTCCTACTGTGCGCACACTCACTGGCTGCTGCCTACCACACTCTCGCTCGTCCTCGCCCTGGGCGCACTGTGGCTGGAAGTCGCACAGCTGCTCCGGGGGCACACACAGGTCCCCGCAGGCCAGCTGCCCCGGCTCGCAGGAACCCTGCAGGCTGGACTGCTGGGGGTGGGGAGCCTCGGGCCAAGGCACAGGAGACAGAGGAGCCCCTACAGGGGAAGTGGGGTTAGGTGGGTCGCAGGCACTTGTCTCTCCCGGCAGGCAGGCAGGCAGGCAGGCAGGGCAAGGCCAGGCAGGTCACCTGGGATGACTGTGCAGTGGTCAGACAGGATGAGGTCATCCAGCCCCACGATGCCTCCAGGGCCCGTCTCACCAGTCAGGAGGATCTGAGAGTGTGGGGTCTGCTCAGGGGTGCCTGATCCCTTTGTGCTCGCTCCCAAGTATGCACCCAGCCCGTATCCCCTCTCCCTGTGGACATTTCTGGCTCCTTCAAGGTCCATGAAAGACCCCTGGCTAACTACTTGCATGGTGGAGCTCCCTACACCCTGCCCGTGTCCCCTGCCGCTGCCTGGCCAGCCTCACCCGGAAGGGATGGGCACTCCGAATGTCCACCTGGTCTCGGACCCAGGCTGCCCCCAGCTCGCCGTGTCGATGTCGTAGCAGGACAGGGGCCTGGGGAGCCCCAGGACCCTGCATCCACAGGAGCAGTTCAAGGTGGGCGTCCTTGGACCCATGCAGGTAGTGGTAGAAGATGAGCTGGAAGGGACTGTGCTAGTCAGGACACCCTGTGGTACCCAGGCAGCAGGTCCACGAGCCCAGGTCCCAATGCAGCTCACCGAGCAGTTTCGGGAGCCTGAGGCCTGCAACTGGGGGCTGAGGAGGACAGCTGGGTTGCCGGGTTTGGCTGTAGAGACCAGGAAGGAGCCTGGGGGAGACAGTGAGCATAGGCTTCCGTCTCTGGCTGTGGCTGGATGATCAGGTCATGGCTCGGTCCCTGTGGGCCTCACCCTGTGCACTGTTCCGGCTGTGGTCTCTGCGTGGCCAGGCAGAGCCTTTGGGGCCGCTGGTGCTGAGGTTCCAGGCCGGGCCCTCTGTGTGGCTCCACAGGCCCAGGCCCGTCTCAAAGTTGGTGCCTGTGTGATGGCCTAGGCGGGGGCAGGGCTGTCACGCCTCCTGCAGCCATATGGCCCCAGCTCCAGGCTGGCTGCAGGTTGTCCCCATTGCGGGACTGTGTCAAAGCAGAGTGCATGCTCCCGGACAAGCCCCTGGTGTTTTGGCCCAGTTTTTTTTTTTTTTTTTTTTTTTTTTTCAGTAGCAGGGGTTGAACTTGGGACCTTGCCCTTGCTAGGCAGGTGCTTAAGCTGCTGAGCTATATCCCCTGGTCCAATTGTTTTTTGCGGTCTATGGCTTGAACCCAATGCTTTCCCCTGGAGCTGTAGCCCAGCCCTTTAAATATTTTTTTATTTTGTTTTGAGATGGGGTCTCATTAAGTTGCCCAGGCTGGGCCATCCTCCTCCTTTGTCCTCCCAGAGCGTGGGGAGTACAGGCATGCGCCCCCAGCTGCCCAGTGTTCTTTGAAGGACCTGGGCTCAGGGCCTGGCCTCCCTGCCCTCCCTGTGTCCCGCCCACACCCAGGGCAGGCCTCACTGCAGGTGAGCGGGTCCTCGTCAGATCTGTCCCCACAGTTGTCCTCCCCATCACACAGCTGGTGGGGCTCTATGCAGGCTGCATTCCTGCAGCGGTGGTGGGCCAGGGCACAGCTGGCCTGTGGAGCTGGGGGAGGGCGGCCAGGTGAGGGCCCCTGGACGCAGAGCTGGGGAGCAGGTGGTGAGGTCCCTGGCACCACCCGCCAGCGCAGGGCTGCGAAGCATGCCTTACTAGGAAGCCCACAGTCCCAGAACTCCACGTCATCCAAGGCCACAGCACCCTTGTGCGTGGCGTTGCGGGTGGCAGAGAAGGTCACCTGAAGACAGCAGGTGACTTAGGACTTCAGTCAGGCCCAGCCCCCACCTCCACCTCGCTGCCGGAGGACAGCTCACTCGGAAGTCTCCCGGGATGCGGCCCGTGGTCACTGCCAGCTCCTGCCAGCCTGAGCTCCAGGGTCCCGAGCTCTGCCACAGGGTCAGCGTCTCTGCACTGTGGGTCAGCTCCAGCTGCAGTCCTGCCACATCTGCGGCATTTGGGGGGCCTTGGGTGGCTCCATCCCTGCAGTACCCCCAACCCTCCTGCAGGGCTCCCTCCTGGCCTTCTCCCCGCATCCTGCCAGCCGCTTGTCTGGGGTCCCAGGTGCGCACCTCCAGAGACTGCGTGGTACCAGAGCCTTAGCTCACAGGTGGGGCCCGCCTCCCGCAGCACAGGGGAGCGCAGGGCCGCGACGGCGGCCTCTGTCCCGCGGTGGGTTCCCACGCCCATGTACCAGCCTGGCAAGGAAAGGAGAGTGCTTGGGAGACAGGACAGGGCCAGGGGGAGGGTGGGGAGCCCGCTGGTGGAGGCATGCAGCGCTGGGCCTCACCCAGGTCAGTGCCTTGTGTGTGGTCGGTGTGAGCCACAGGCCCCTCAGGCTGTGCCCTGGCACGGTCCCGGACCCAGCGGTAGCCCGAGGTGCTGATGTCCTGCCAGCCGCAGTTGTCTTGCTCAAAATCGCAGGTGACGGGGGTGCCCAGGCCGGGCGAGGCCCTGCTGTAGCCTGGGAGATCAGGGGTTCAGGCCCAGCCCCCCCCTCAGCCCCCACCCCGCAGACTCAGGCTCACCGCACTGGGCCTCATCAGGCCGGGTGAAGCCCGCTGTAGCCTGGGAGATCGGGGTTCTGCCCAGTGCTCCCCCCCAGATTCAGCTCACCACACTGGGCCTCCTCAGGCCGGGTGAAGCCTGCTGTAGCCTGGGAGATCGGGTTCAGGCCCAGCCCCCCAGACTGGGCTCACTGCACTGGGCCTCCTCAGGCCAGGCAAGGCCTGCTGTAATGTGGGAGATCGGGGTTCAGGCCCAGCCCCGCCCCCCAGACTTGGCTCACCGCACTGGGCCTCGTCGGAGCAGTCCGTGCAGTCGCACAGGAAGTTGCACTGTGTCTCGATGGGGCTCTTGCAGGGACCGGGCACCAAGGCTCTGCCCAGGGGCTGCGCTGCTGGCAGACAGCCAAGTTGGGTGGGACCGGGCAACTGGCCACCTGCCGTGTCCAGGACACTTTCCTGAGACTTCCATGTCCAGGGAAACCCTGCGGGACGTCTGTCACCAACTGTGGCACTGAGCAGTACAGGGGGTCTTGGGTCCACCAACAACCAGCATGGGGACCCCATGCCATCCCCAGGTGCCTAGCTCCTTGGAGGCTTTTGGGGAGGGCATGGGCATTGATGAGAACAGGGCACTGGGTGTGGGACACTCTCTGGGGAAAGGGACTGCAGGATGTAGCTCCCAGCAGGGTGCCCCCGTGACTCATCAGTGGTGACAGCCTCACATCTGAGGGGACAAGGGAAGGCTCAGGGAACTGCATGGGTGCTAACCTAGAAGCCCTCTCACCTAGCGTAGGGAGAGGGGGCTTGGCTGGGCCATCTCTGGTCCATGATCCTTCCTGGCGTCCCCCTTGCAGGCTGTCTTTGCTCTCTGGTGGGGTCCAGCATCAGCCCTGGTGCCCTAGCAAGACCATCCAACTCACCCGAGAGCAGGACCAGCACAGGCAGGAGGTGGGTGGGCAGCTGCATGGCCAGGCTAGTGGGAACGAGGTCCAGAGGCAGAGCCCTTGTGCCCTGGTGGGGACTGTGTCCAGATGTCAGCCCGCCCCACTGGCTTGCCTCTGACTGGGAGAGGCTTGGGCCCTTTTGTGCTTGCAGCCCCTTGGCCGCGCCCCACTCTGGGATGGCAGATGAAGCATCCGGCTGTAAAAATGTCCCCAGGAAGGGCCCCTGGCCAGGCCTAGCTCCCACCTCCCCTGGCTTCTTCTGACCAAAGGTCAGGTGACAGGCATTCCTGTAGCCTCATCCCCATCCTCCTGTGTGGGACAGGGAGCTGGGCAGAGGCTGACATTTAGGGCTTTGGCAGGATGCCACCAGACTGGGGTGGGACTGGGATCCCGTGAGCAGGGCTCTGTGCTCAGCACAGGGTGGCTTCTGTCATGCTCCAGCTTGGCCTTGCCTGGTGTAGATGAAGGGCAAGGCAGTGTATCCCTCGGTCCAGGCACAGGCCTGACGTCCTGGAACCCAGGCCATGGATCCCCTCCCAATTGTTTGTTCATCCTTCAAAATCCTCCTGGACAACCTTCTCTTGTTCCCTCAGATGTGAAGCTGAGTCACATCAGCCTGCCAGCTGCTCAGTAACAAACACGGGGTCCCACCACCCTGGAAAATCCTGGTTTTCTAGCAGTCTTGATAGGATGCCTACCACCAGACTTACCCAGACAGACTTGCTGGGGTAAGCCTGGCAAAGTGGCCCTCACAGCCAGGATGGTGGCCTCAAGGACCTCTCAAGTGTGTCCCTAACTTTACCTGACATTCACTGTCTCCACACACCGGGCTCCCCCTTGGGAGGTAGGACTGCGCAAGGCCAAACGGAGGGCTGCAGGGGGTTGGGGGAGGGGACCTTCAGAGCAGGTGTCCCTCCTGCTTGGTGTCCTGATTCCCGATGCAAGGGCTGTGGTTAAAGCCACGTGTCCCTGCTGGCAGGCCACTGAGGGCCCCCAGGCTGGCCCTGTGCAGACTGACAATGACAGTCAGTGTCACTGGCCAGGACAATGGTCACTGGATCCCTTCCTGCCACAATTCTGGATGGAGCTCTGGGAAAGGGGTACTTGGGAGGATCCAGGCCTCAGCAGGCCATGAGGACCAGTGCAGACTTCTTGCGCAAGGCCTTACTGGGCCTCCACGCAGGTGTCCTTTGGGATAGCGCCATGTGGAGAAGCAATCAGGCCATAAACAGTGGCAGCCCAGGGGCCCTCACTGGACCCCAAGGGGCTGAGCATGCACTGCCGCTCCCTAGGGCCTCAAAAGGCCGAGGCAGAGGCGAGGGGGTTCCAGGTGGTGACCCGGGGCAGAGGAGCCATGAAACACAGATGAGCAGGTGCAGTAAGGCTTTTAATTCCCACGGGCCATGTTGACCCGGGCTCCGAGGCCTGGTGAGGTGGCACACTGCCAAGGGCTGCAGAAGCAAAGAGCTGGGCAGCCCCTCAGAAGCAACCCTGGGCAGGTAGAGTCCTGTCCTGACTGCTGGGCGCTGGCCATCAGTAACCGTCATCTGCCCAGGTGACCTCGTAGTCAGGGTACTTGGCTTTGATCTTCTCAGTTGAAACAGAGTGCTGGGCACGACCGTACCCCTGGAGAAAGGACAGCACTAGTTCAACCTGGCTCTGAGCTCGGGGAGCCCCCAGGGCAGGGTCCACAGTGGGCCCTCAAGCGCCAGGTGTTTGTAAGGAGGCTGCATTGGGACTAGGTGTGACCCAAGCACTGGGTTCCCCAGAGGCCTGGGGCCCAGCGAGCCAGGACACCAAGCATCCTGCCAGGCTTGGGGGCCAGGAGAAGGGCCTGGCGAGGCAGCTGCAATGCCCCATGGGGAGGGTGAGAAGGCTGGGATGGGAGCACCCCAGAGGGCAGTGCTGCTGCCCCCACTGGGGTCGGGAGCCCGCTGCGCTGAGCTCACCATGGAGTAGCCGTACACGTGGATCTTCCTGTCCTGGCTCTGGTGGGAGATGCGCCCGCCGCCCAGGCACTCGCAGTCAAAGCCGTTCTTCTGCAGCTCACTGGACACCTTGTCATAGATGTCAGCTGGAGTGGGGACAGCAGCTTCAGGACAAGCCCCAGCCACCCTCAGAGGCCATGGGATGATCCCTGGGCACAGGAGTCTGAAACCCCTTGCCCGGTGGAAAGGAAACGCTGGTGGCCAGGGACCAGGCAGGAGGGGTGTGCTGTGCCCTGTGGAGCCCGGGAGCGCGGTCCAGGCCCTGCACTCACTGTCTGCTCGGGACTGCACAGAACCGGGGACTGAACTAGGCCCTTGCGCTTGCCAGGCAAGTGCTTGTTCTACTGAGCTATCTCCCCGGCCCTCCATTCTTTTTATTATTTATTTATATATTTATTTTTAATAAGGGTCTACAGGGTGTTCAGGGTCTCACTACTA